GTAACAGGTGCCTTACTAGTAGTAACAGGTGCCTTACTAGTAGTAACCAGAAGCTACTAGAAACAAGTGCCTTACTAGTAGTAACAGGTGCCTTACTAGTAGTAACAAGAAGCTATTAGAAACAAGTGCCTTACTAGTAGCAACAGGTGCCTTACTAGTAGTAACCAGAAGCTACTAGAAACAAGTGCCTTACTAGTAGTTACGAGAGGCTGAGGCCGCCTGAGGCGGTTCACCGTGGCCGTCTGCAGCTCAACGTTGTGGACGATCTCCCGAGAGGCGGCGATCTGCTGCAGGTACTGCGTGACCTGCGCGGCCAAAAAAACCGTAGCAGGCGGGAGAATGGTGGGAATGGCGCTTTAGCAGTGGTCAACGCGTTTTAATATTAGGAGCAAGGACGCTACTAGGGGCTCCTGGCCTTGCTACTAGCAGGGTTCAACTTCATTTTTGGGAAGAAAAGCGGCAGCGTCCGAGTTCATGATGAATCCTGACCACATCTAACCCTTTTGCCCACAGCCAATCTGTTCCACCATTCCCGCTACGAACCAACCTAGCTTAAACAAAACCACATGCACTACCGCCCGTCACTACCGCCCCTGCACTACCGCCCTCTTAAGTGAGGGCGCACCAAAGATGGACCATGAAACATTGACAAGTGGTCCGGTGCTGCATGCTTCCATGCGTGATTCCACATGTAACCTTCTTTGGAGAGACAAACTTGGAACGTTTTCCTGCAGCCTTTTGAGCTCCATGTTGGGGGCTCCATTGACTGCTGGGACTCCATGACGTCGCATCCAAGGATCTTGACTTCGACCCCGACATGTCGCATTCGACCGAGGTCGATCCCACCCCCAGAAAGGACTTGGTGAACGGTTCCCCTGAAAGGCCCGGAGTGGGATGGTGAGGAAGGGAGCGCAAAGCTCGGCTCACTCCGTTCCGCCTCTTTGATTCTTCCATTCAAGGTGGTCAGCTGCTCCTGTCCGTGACTCCGGTTGGTCGAAGCCGGTTTTGATGTAGAGTGAACACCACTAGTAGCGTCCTTGCTCCTAGTAGTACGGCCAGGAGCCCCTAGTAGCGTCTTTGTTCCTAGTAGCGATGCCAGGAGCCCCTAGTAGCTTCTTGCTCCTAGTAGTGAACACCACGAGATAGCTGAAAGCAATGAAATTGATCACCAACATGGTTCTTAGAAAGGTCAGTGGCCTAAATGTGGCGAAGAGTCTGCTCATCTTCCTCACTGATAGAACACCCTACCAAAGAAAGTCCACATCTTCGAGAAACCTGCAGGTGCCTTGAAGAGTTTGCCGATCAGGACCTGTTGCAGAGGCCCAATGCGTTCGCCCAAGAGGAAAAACAATCCAATTCTCTCCCACGCTCTCTCCACGGTCCTCCTGAATCCAAGCAACATATGACTGACCGCCCGGAGACTTAAGACTCATTTTGGGCCGTGGGGTGACAGCCCTTGCTTCAATTCGGTAGTCCTTAGTCTGACGGATCACCTCGGTGAAGTCCCGCTGCTGGTGACCTCACAGCAGCACTGCTGCTTAAGACGTGTCACCAGGGGCTGGTGACACGGACAAACACACACGAAACATGGGATGGCAACGAAATCATGTACAGTCAGGTGATGCTACCTTTTGGCTTTGCTTCGCCCAAAAAAAAATCTTGCTTGCCGAATGACATCCAACCCTGCACGTACTGGGACCGTTGTGTTGATCAAGTCGGACACTCCGACCTCTAAACCACGCCTGGTGATGCCGTGGTTTTTTACGATTCAGCCTCTACAATCAACGATTTAAAGACTTTAAACCACAAAATGCCTTGAGGATTTGACTCTTGCCGCGCTTGAATGGCGCTTGGTCAGCAAGTGCGACTCTATGCCTTGCCACAGCTGAGCCGTCCAAAGCCGAGCCGCAAATTACCTCTTGGCGATCCTCAAACGCGCTGCACCTGAGAGCTGCGATCGGGAAGCCCAGGGGCCGACGGAACTGACCACCCAGCAGCCGCGCGGGTCTTTGTGCTGAAGCTTTCGAAAGAATTCACGTGACAATTGGCAGTTGGTAGATGTTGGTAGCGTTGCCATTTTTGGCCGCACAGCCCCGATGGCTCCAACATTCCCCAGTGCTCGTGGTTCGAAGGTCCACAAGTCCATGCGTCTCGAAGAAAACACGTTTTAAAACAACCGATTTTTGTTGAACGATGCTCAGTGACTCCTCTCGAAGGACTTCCTCCACCTCTTTGCTCATGGACTTCACGTTCCTCAAGTCGATCACAGCGATCAAACGACGTTTTCTCCAGCACCAACGCAGTTGAGCCTTTGGGCACTATCCACTGCTGACTTCCCCACGTGTCTCCATTGTAACCCATGACTCCCCAAACTAGAGAACATTCCAATTCAATGCCTGTCCAGTCAGTCGAGTGGCTCTCGGACAGTGCGCATGACGATATTAGTCGTCTCCTGGAGATTGGATGGATGATAGGATCAAACCTCCCTGATGGCAAGCTTTTGAACGCAGTCGCGCAAAAAGACTTAGTGCTTGACTCATTTGTTGCAGTGTGTGATTTCCTGAAGGGAAAATCCTGTTGGTGGGACAAGCCTCCATTGGCATGAATGACATTTTTCCTACCGAGGCTTCTTTGGCACAGGCAAGGGCAACTAAATTTGAAGCCTTCTGAATGTGAAGGCCTGCATTTTGGTGTTTATATAGTAACTTTTGGCAGTTTCATTTCATTAGGATGGAGGCCATCGCCAGGTAGGTTGCAGTCGGAGGCCATTGCTATTAGGTTCACAGGTCAGTGACCGTATCCATGTTCAATGGCCGACACGTTCCGCCACCTGATGGGCCACGGCCTCCGCGAGGTGTTGATGATCTGCCACCTCAGCGGTAGCTGCCGCTATAGCCGGGACTCATATGAAAGACCGAAGCTGAAACCTCATGTTCTTTTGATTGTGTCAAACCTCATTGCCAAAAACCACGCGAACTCATGTTCTTCTCCAAGGGCATCATCTGACGCTTCCGTCTCACTTTTCTCTTCGTCCCCAAGCGGCTCCGAAGGCCTTTCGCATCTCACCGGTCTTCCCTCGCAGGAGCCGGAGCCTCAGGTGCGTCCGTTCCTCCACCCGAAGGGCCAATGCAAATGGAATCGGGCAACTTGGACAAAAACAGCCCAAAGGCAACTGTGTTCAGCAAACCGCTCCAACTTGCCAAACAGAACTCACTAGAACTTCCAGGAAGCGTGGAGAATCCGAGTTCCAACCCACTGGTTTTACCAACTCCTTCGTCCGTCTATGGCCTGACGCCGCAAAGCTTGAGCTGTTCCATGTAGATCTGCGGAGTGTACGGTGCCTCCTGACCTCAGAAGATTGACGGCGGGTCGCACTGTGGCCGGGGGGGATGATACATTCGGTGGTCAGCAGTGCTCACAGCAGGCTTCTCAGAAAACAACCATATCACTTGCACCTGCATGCACCTGCTGTGAGATGGAGACTCCCGGCAAGCATTCTCCAAAGCAAACCTGACTGCCCTCCGCTGGTTAATTCATTGTCTTACTGGCGTCCCTCAGCAACCTTAGCCACTCTTCTGCACATAATAATGCAACTGAGCCGCTTTTCTCCCAACTCTTCTTTGCGTTGCCCAAGGTTCGCTTCGCTTGTGACTCCTTGATGCCCTCAGGAAACCAACCGAGGCTTGCAAAAAAGGCAAAATAGCTGCATGATGAGGTCATCAGCCATGTGTTGTTCAAACGGACGTATGGACAGCCGTTTGTTGGGGGAATGGGTCGCCGTGGGTCAGAACATGGACTGAAAGAGCTACCCATCATTTGGAGATAGCGCACCTCCACCTGCTGCATGATCTCTTCGGCGGTGACCATCTCAGTGCTCTGCAGCATCTGTCGCTCGTCCCCGAACTTGTCCAGGTATGCCTTCCTTCGCTCTTTGCGTTGGAGGCCGGTTGGAGGCCATACTGCGTATGGCTGGGGTCACAACTGGGTCAATTAAAACCCGGCCCTCTTGCAGCCATGGATTTTTTCAGTTCCATCACTTTGGCCATGTGGGAGGTGGCATTCCAAATTTCAACTCCCAACCAGGGCATGTAGAAAAACAGGAAGGGGTCGTTTGATGCTCCACGAAGGTCAGCTTCGTTGCAACAAATGGGCCCAGGCAGAAAAAGGGTGCCATGTCTTGCTGCGAAAAATCTTGAACGATTCTTCTTCCATCTGCCCTACTCACCACTTCCGAACTAACCCCAAGCTTTTCGAACCAACCAACTAAGCGATCCTGACAAACCAACTTTGCAACGACCCAACCATCATCAACCCCACCGGCGCAAAAGATGGCGGATGCCCAGGCGCCAGAGTTCGGCGAGCCCCACGCGCTCGCCGTTGGCCGACTGGCGGCCTCTGTATGGCATCGCACGGCCGGGAGAGGCGGTTTTTGGAAGAGACTAGGCTTTGGAATCGGTGATAGCAGGAATCTTCCAACGCATCATGGGTTTAAACTTAAGTTTCGGGTGTTTTTCCTGTCACCCATGTCGATGAAGGAGGTAGCGCCGGCTTCACCTTCAAGAAGAACATAACCACAGGTATCTGGAACTAACCAAAATGAATGAGTTGACACATCTGAACAACTCAACCCAAGAAATCCCCAAGGTCATCGGGGGGACTCGTGAAAGTTTTCCAGTTCGGCTTTCGGCGGCGTTCGCTTCCTTTGCTTTTCCTTGAGCGATAAAACCAACAAAAAAGCACAAAACTGACTTTGGGGCCGAGCCGTGGGAGGCGTTGGGACTGTGGAGTGCTCCTGGACATAATGCTTTAAATGAATCCTGATGTGCCCGAGCCATCCCAATGCAAAGCTGGGAACCCACCCAATGAGTCCAATTCTGTATGGCAACTACCTACCAACATGTGTCTTCCAACCAGCGGGTCCCGAATCAACGACACAGTTGACAAGTCTGAAGGTGCATCCTGCTCACTCCTCGTGCACTCCTCCTCTCCCGAGCGGCGACGGCGGAGCATCTCGGAGATCTGAGTGTTCAGTGTGGCCAAGGAAGAGGTCTGGGACTTCACTGCGCTGTAGGAGTCCTTGGAAGTTCGACGAAGAAGAGCATAGCCAAGCGAAACCCATGTCATTTGGGGCTCCAAGGCCTCATAACCTAATTCAAGGTTTACGGCGCAGAAGGCCACATGCTAGCTGCATCAAATGAAGGTAACTTCCCCCCACCCTGTCCCTCGAAGAGAACAAAGGCCCCGTACACTGTACTTGTGCTACTCCCCTCCAATGGGTGGCTTTGAAAGGTTGTCGACTTGGAATGTCAATGGAACACGTCCCCCAACCCCCAAGACATTCAGAGTAACCCCTTTCCTGACACAAAAAATTCTTCGCTAAAGGTTAAGACCATGAACTGCAGTAAGTGGGCCGGGGTCAACACCTGAGCTTGGCAAAGGCCTCTTTCCAAAGTGTTTGCCAGGCGGACTTCCACGGTCCGTGATTCTGCGCGCAGTCCTTTCTCCGAAGTCTGGGACTGTCCAAGGGGCCAAGAGAATGGCCAACATCATGTTGAGGAGCAAAACCTTGGGGAATGGCTGACGGGCGTCTCGTGAGACGAAGCTGCCGGGACATGGATGAACGGCAGCACAAGAAGCATCAATGAACAAAGTATGCACATGAAAAGAGCGAACATCTTTCTGGTTAGAGTGATTTGTGAAGAGGTAGACGGCTTCCGAACTGCAAGAGATGCAAACGGTGCAAACACCGAAATCCTGTTGAATGCCAGGGGGTGTCACTGGAAGCTATAAGACAAAAAGAAATCCAGCGTTGACGACCCAGATCAGACTTCCCCCTAGGTCTTGGCAACTCCAGTTTGGACTACCAGGTGGCCACCACCACGACCAGGAAGAGCCACATCCAAGTGGCCGCCGCGATCCGACCTGCTACCAGCTGGGCCGCCACTCCACCAAAAACAGACCAAAACCCATCAAAACCCAATGACTGATTCCTTTTGGGCATTTCTTTTGTACGTTTTTCTATTCAGTTTTGTGTTTTTTTGCTATCTTCTAATCTTTCCTGTATGTGGAGAGGGTCTCGATGATTCGATGCATTAGATTCCATTGCTTCAGCTTTCAGTTTCTGTGGCATACCCATTGGAGCAACTCTAAAAACAGTTGCGTCTAGCAACCAAAAGCTGCCGGACACTTTCGGTATGCACATTCTTTTTCAAGCTCTGTTGGCTTCTGTGCTTCAAGGTGCCAACGGCGTTGCCACTCATCAGTTCTGAACGCTTCGATCGCCCTCTTTGTTTTTATGCACGTGGCATTACAGGAGGGGTGCCCATCGTCATCCGTCCACCATACCAGTAGCAGGCAACCTCCAAACCCTCCTGCCGGCTTATCTAGAAACCCTTCCCCAAATATAAGTCGCACATGGTAGGGCTGTTCGAGGTCAGGCGGTTGTCAGCTATCAGGAAAAAGAACTTGGATCAACCTGAATTCCTCGCCTCACCACACTGTCTTTAACAAACATCGACCCTCCTGAAAGCCAAATTTGGACATGACATCAAAGAGACACTATGAAGCGATGGGCATTCTTCTCCGAACATAAGTAAAGGACTGTAGGGACAGCCTGAAGGCCCAAACAGAAAACAAGAAAAACCATAGAAACTAGACAAGCATTCTGAATTGGAGGCCATCGCTATTAGGATCATTTTTCGAGAAATCAAACACGTATTCTAACCTGGGTCATTTTCATGATCATCCGGGTTTGGGATGAACCCATGGCCGGAGCTTGGAGCAAGTGCAGCCCAAGGGCCAATGCCGATCGTTTGCATCTGAGGCCAATCCTCCGTGAACGGTTGGTCGTTGGAAAAAGTCCCAGACTGCCAGGTTGGTTTGGACACATTGTTTCGACTCCCATTTTGAGACACATGGGCATATTTTATCTTTCAGGATGTTTTATTGCAGCATCTCCGAAAATATGCACACAACATGACACCTCAAAACCCACAAGGCGAGAAAATGCGAACACCCTCACAGAAAAAATACATGTCTTCTGTCTTCTTCTCTGGCTTTGACGGACGCCCTGTAATTCCAGTGGGAACTGTTGCTAAAGAACCTCATTGGAGGGTGTAACTGCTTGTCCCAGTGAGGCAGCAGCAACAAACAATACTTGTTGGGGAACGGTGGTCATGTCGGGTGGCAAAAGAATCTCAGTGGCCCGTGCAGTGGTTGAGCATTGATACGAGACTTGCAAAGAGCAAGGTGGGCAAAAACACGGCACCTTGCCGACGGACTCCACGTCCCACGATATGCTGCACACGAACTTTCATGCTCCAGGAGTCTACCTAAGTCTACGAATGCCTCCAGTCCAACCCACCAACCCATGGGGAGCCTCCCCCCCTTTGTTGTGGAAGCTCCCATTCGATGCGTCTCCGAACAAGACGTTCCAGCCCAGGTGCCCAATCGCCGAACATCGCGCGGAAGGAGCTCATCAGGCCACGGTCCAGGGTGGCAAAGCTCTCCATGTCCTTCTCCCGTTCGGCGACACCAACGATGGCGGAGCGGCTGAGCAGAGCGGTGTCGGAGCACGAGTTGGAGGGGTCAGTGCGCTAAATGAGGCATTTGGTTGGAACGGCATGGACACCAAGATGGCACAAGTGCAGAAGACCACTTGGGGTCACTGGCGCCGAGGTCTGCGCCCAGGAGCTACTCAAAGAAGAAACACTCACAAATTCATTCACTCTGCGCATAATGACTTCTTCAGGCGGTGTTTTTGTGGAGAAGGAGGGGTCGGAGAACCACTCCAAGTGCTGAGAAACATGTTTGGTCGATCCCTTGCAAAAGGTCACCGACCTTTCTGAACACCAATGATGTGCCCAATCCAATATGAGTGGTTTGGGCTTCAGCAATTCTTTGTGGGTTGGAAAGCCGGCAGCGTTCCGGCCCAGGTTGATGGCTCGACCTGCCCGAAGACCAGCACGCTATTCACGCCCAGGCAGAAGTAGACGCAGAAGAAGACGATGAAGAAGTGGAGCAAATCCTGCCGAACCGCGGAACCACGGCGCGAATCGAACCTGCAACCACTCGACACTTGCCTGATGACTCGACACTGCTGCTCCATGGAGCCAGGATGTTCCAGGTCCATCGGCAAGTGTTCCTAATGTCCTAGACCACCCACATTGCCAAATGCCAGAAGCGGTGAGTCACATCCTCCGCTTGGTCGCCTCCTCCGTTCCGGACGTCGGTTTCCGGACCTTCCAGGCGTTGTAGATGGTCTTGGTGACCACCGCCAAGCGCGGCTGGGCATCGAAGGACTTCAACAGTCGCACCACCACCACCTCGGCACGGCGTGCTCATCGGACTTAGCTTGAAGGAGCAGTTGAACCAATTCGACCTTTGCCCAAACACCACGCACCTGTCCATTTCCTTGATAAAACATTCATGTCAATCACCTGGGCGAACAAGAACCGCAAGGATTCCATCCCAGCGGCGATGGGGTAGAACATCAAGGTAAAGCGGAAATCCGCTTCCGCCAGCACCACGCTCTGCACTGATGCGAAAACCCGTTCGCTCCACACCTGCACCAACGAGGAGCCCAAGTTAGTGGAGCCCTGGTTGGTCAACAGGAGCGCCAATTCCAAGCTTTTCCATGTCAGGGCTGAACACAAGTGCAGCAAGCTCTTGGGTCACTAGGCTTTCTTTTCATAAGCTTCCAATGGAGCTGTCCGTCGAGGACGAGCAAGTAGGTCATTCTAAGTGCATCCTTCTGTAAGTACTAGTTTCCAACGCTTGCAACACCGCAACTAACTGATTGGAATAAGATAGGTTGACTTGTTTCAGCTAGACATCTGCCCTGATGCTCTTTGTTTGGTTCGACTGGTGGCAGCCCAGCGCCTCGCTCTGGTAGGTCGTCAAAGCGTTCTGATCCTTGCGCATCGGCGGGGTCGGTACCACAGCAGCACTCGGCTTGGTGCTCTAGTGGCCGCACCAGAGGGGGTTAAAGGATCGTAGTAAAAGTGTTGCAAGAAGTTGTCAGCTTCCATCTGGGAATGGGGTGCCACACAGTCCCCATCTGGAAAAGGAACCCCTATTTTTCTGGGATTTTGAAATTTTTTCTGTTTTTTTTTTTCACATTTTTTTCCCTACTACTTTTGCTTTTGCTTTTTGCTTCTGCCCTTTGCTTCTGCTTCTGCTTTTGCTTCTGCATCTGCTTTTGCCCTTTGCTGTTGCTTTTTGCTTGTTGCTTTTGCTTCTGCATCTGATTTTGCATCTGCTTTTGCGTCTGCATTTGCCTTTTGCTTCTGCTTCGGCTTTTGCATTCTGCTTTTGCAATTAGAGCCGGTGCTGCTGCAAGCGGCCAGCTTCCACAGCTGTGCTGCTTGCAGTGGCCAGGGTCTAACGAGCGTGAGTTGCTGCAAGGGGACAGCTTTCAACACTGCGCTGGTTGACTCCTACGCTGGTTGCAGTAGAGACCCTGTGCTGCTGCAAGTGGCCAGCTTCCAAAGCTGCGCTGCACGCAGTGGCCAGGGTGTAACGAACGGGCGTTGCTGCAAGCGGCAAGCTTCCAATGCTACGCTGGTTGCGGTACAGACCCTGTGCTGCTGCAAGTGGCAGCTATTCCAAGTTGACTACCCTTTGATGGCCCTTCCAAGTTGGCCCATCCTTTGGTGAGCAGTTGACTAACCCTTTTGTCGGCAATGCAGGGGCAAAATTTAGAGCAGGATGTTGCCATTTCAACTTGACTCACCC